CCCACGAGGACCACGAGGGCAGCGGCGTGGCCTTGATGATGTTGCTGCGGTGGAGGGGATGGGTTAGGGGCGCCCTGCCTGCTGCCATGCCAGCCCCGTGGCTCCCCCAGAGATACAGCCAGACCGGAGCCTTGCCACGCGGGTGAACGGAGGTGCTGGGATGGCAGGGAGCGCAGAGGGGCCAGTTCTGGGCCCAGCCTCTGCACCGACAGGGCACGCGACCACGGGGGAAACCCCCCACGGGCAGAGACAGCAGCCCCCTGCCGTGCCCCTGCAGCCGAGTGCTTGCCCACACTTACTTGAGCGAGGTGGCGGCTTGGTTGGAGCTCTTGGGTGCGGGGGCCCTGTCAGCGGGGGCGTAGTTGTTGTGCACCATGGTGGTGACGCAGTTGCCCACAGCCCCTTTGTTACTCCTGCCGTGGAGAGAAGGGAGAGGCTTCAGGACTGGCCGGGCCCCTACTCTAGCAGTGCTGGCACTGCCCTTGTCCGTGAGGGAGCAAAGGAAAAGCCAAGACACCAGAGGGACCTCTCTCTTCCCGGCGCTAAGCCCCCTTCCAGCACCCCCTCTCCAAGCCCAGACACCCCTCCCCAGCCCGCACTCAGTGCCCACAGCCCCCTCTTGCCCTCTCCGTGCTGAAGCCAGCTCCAAGTCCCAGCTCCTTCACTCCCATTTGTGAGACACTGTGGCACACAGGGGCCGGGAGGTCACGTATTGCCTGTGCCAGCTGGCTCTGCCTCTACACCGGAAAAGGAAGGGTACGCTCCCACCTTGCTACATCCCTTGCCCGCAGGGGAGAGAGCACGTGGTGCTGCAGGCCTCATGCCGCCTCTCACCTGTTGTTGGCAGTGAAGTTGGCTGCCAGGAGCACCGTGGCTTCTTTCTTCCTCATGCTCGCAGAGGACTCCAGGGTGCCGCTACGGTCGCCAGCCAGGGTGGGGAAGACCCGCGGCTCGTCGTCCTGGGCAGGGGAAGCAGAATAGAGCACCAAGTCAGCACGGGTCACACGCCTGCCCGATGCCGCGTTCTCTCTCCGTAAGACAGGACCCCCCACCCCAAGCTTAGAGTCAGATGCCAAGAGCAAGCAGAGGAACCGGCTGCTAAGGGGTCAGACACCGAGCATAGACCAAGAGTATAAAAGAAGGCCAACGGAGTGGCTCTGGAGTCACCTGAGGATCTAACAAGAAAAGGCCAGGCACGGAGACCCTGCCGGCACCGAGCTGGAATTGGGCCCACCCTACACGCCAGAGGCAGGACGGGAGTGTGTGACTGGCGCCCTAACTTCAAGCCAAGGAGCTACTTGCCAGAAGGAGGCGAGTGCGGCTCGGCCCCCAGACCCGTCTCCCTTACCAGGATGTTCCACGTGGTCGTCTTCTCCGGGGAGGCTTTGCTCAGACTCGCCAGCTTCTTCCTTCCACTGGAGCTACCATCAAAGAAGGTCAAGAAGTCTCTGCTCTGCTCCGCGCTGCGAGCCGGGGAGAAGAAAATCCAGGAGAGAGGGAGACGGGGAAGGACCTTGCCACTATCTTTCTACCTGTCAGGCTTTCACCCTTCACGTGGCACCCACACCGAGCTCTCAGCCGTCACTAACGCCCGGAGAACGAGGGCACCTCTCCCAACACCGAGAAGCCAAAAGGCTTGGCAGAGCGGGGAGTCTGCAGGTGGTTTCTATAAATATTTAGCTTGGACACGGGGCTCATCCCAAAGAGACGGGCGACGGCTAGAGCAGAGGATGGAGAACCAGGCCTCCGCGCTTCCTACGTGGCCACCCCTCACTCGCACGGGTCTCACGAGAATCAGCGAGCGCGTGAAAAACACCACGAGAGTTTGGGACAGAGACTCCCGCGGCCCACCCGCGCGCATTTACAGCCAGACCAAACCACCACCCGCAGCCGGGGACACGACTGCCGGGCAGCGCCCTAAGGGAGACGATACTCTCCCGCTCAAGGCAGCGTTTCAAAAAGGAACTGGTGCCCCGAAGCTCGCGTCGGAGAAACGTCCAGGTGGCCGAGAGAACAACAGCTGCCGTTCCCCGGTGGGCGGGAGCGCCTGCCTGAAGCCAGACGGGCCGTCCGTTAGCCGTGCAGACCCCGCAGCCCCTTGGCAGGCTTCACCGCCCGGCCAGCCCGGAGCCTGCAGCTGCCCGGGGCGTTCCCGTGTTTCTCATTCCACAGCGAATAGCTTCTAGACGCCGCGGCCCTGGGCGGCGCTGCCTGGCATGCCGCGCCCTGCTCCGACCTTGCAGCTAAGCCCGAGCGCTTGACCCCGGACCCGCGCTGCAGTAAGAGGGTTAAAAACAGCCCGGGGGCCTTGGCGCTGTCCGAGCAAACTCCCACCTCTTGCCCAAAGGCGCGTCTCATCGACGACGCGGCCAGAAGAGACTCCCCCCTTCAGCGACCGCTAAGCAAGGCGGGAAGGGATGGGACTGGTTTTTAAAGCCTGACCCCCAAATAAAGCTCTCGCGGGGAGGACTGGACACCCGTGAAGGCACGGCCTGGAGCGGACTCTACTTCCAGGAGCAGCGAGCTCTATCGGGACCCCAGTCTGGGTTCACAAGACTCACGTGTCACCCGGGGGTGTTACACCCCGGCTGACTGTGCGGGCTGGAGGATGCACGATAGATGGAGGGTGAATGCACACGGTAGCCCGGGGAGCAATTCAGGGCTCAGTTCCCCCCGAGGAAGGGCCCACAGAATCACGCTGCCTGACTCCCGTGACCCCTCTCCTCACCTGGCAGCGCTGTTCACCTGCGGGCTGACCTGGGTGGTGCTGTTGGATCTGCGGAGGTTGTTAATGGCCCTGGCGCTGCCCAGTCCTGCCTCCTCCTGCGGGGGAGACAGCAACCCCTGAGCTCAGCTGTGCAGAGACACCGCAGCCAGGCAGCGGTGAGACGATCGTGGCCGAGCCGAGTCCTCTCGGTGGAGCCGGACAGCGACGCAACGCCTCTGGGACCAAGGGCCTGATTCTGCAACAGGCCGAGAACCTGCAACTCCCCCCAACGGCGGCGGGGCCTGGAGACACCACGGGACGCCCACCCCAGTCTGCTCCCCACGGAGAGGGGTGGCAGAAGGAGACCAAGAGACACGATGCTGCTCGGGCACAAAAAGGGGCACCGGGGCCGGGAGCAAGCCAGTGGCCACCCCGCAACCTGCCCCCGAGCTGAGACCTGGCCTGGCCCAACTCCCGGGGCAAGCAGGAGGCAGCGAGACCTTCCCCGGCGGCAGGGCACCCACGAAGCCCTTCCCAGAGGCCACGAGCCCCGGGAGGAGAGCTCGGCACCCCCAAAGCCGCCTCCGACGACGGGAGGGGCCGGGCCCCGCACTCACCAGGGGGCTGCGCCGGGGCTTGCCGTCGGCGCTGGCCGAGACGGAGCGGGCCACGGGCTTGGCCGGGGACGCGCTGCTGGGGCGCCGCGAGACTTGCAGCGGGAGCCCGGTGAGGCTCAGCTCCACG